AAGCAGAAAAGAACAATAGATGTAAAGTGTCCATATGTAGTCAAAGAATACAATCGGCATATGGGAGGAGTGGATTTATTAGACAGTCTAATGGGACGATATAAAATCCTTTTAAAAAGTAGAAAATGGTACATGAGACTGTTTTATCACATGATCGACTTGACGATGGTAAATGCTTGGTTAGTCTATAAAAGAGTACATAAACAAAACGGAACCGCTGATTGTGAAATCTTAAACCAAGCTAAGTTCCGAGCCGAGGTAGCTCAATGTTTGTGCATGATAAATACAAAATCAACGAAGCGTGGAAGATCAAGCTTTCTTGAGCAAGAAATTCAGTTGAAGAAAAAGAAAGGACCGGCACAACATGTTCCACCACAGGATATTAGACAGGATCAGTTTGCTCATTGGCCGTTAAATATTGACACAAAAATGAGATGCAAGTATCCTAACTGCAAAGGTTTCTCTCGAGTAAAATGCGAAAAATGTGACGTTGCTCTGTGTTTTAACAAAAATAACAACTGTTTCAAAAACTTTCATGTAAATTGATTCTGTACACGCCTTAGTTAATAAAAGCATGGTGTAGCCATATGGCAACAATCCCTTTTTTATAATAAATATCCTTTTCCAAAGCAAAAGATTTTTTTTTATTATTTGTTTCATAAATAACTCGAAATTTCACATCCTTGCAGCAATAAAATAATAAAAAATAAAAAATCATGCATTTAAGGGTTAAATCTTTCGCATGGCGTTGTTATACATATTTCAATTAACTGATGAATTAAGTTGAATAAATTTTTTTTAAGCACATGGCAACTCTCCTAAATGCAGTTTAGAAATAAATTATTTTCAAACCCATTTCGATTGATACCCATCTTTTGACAATCCATTTAACTTATTAAATAATTTGAGCTTAATTTTTTCAACAAAAAAAAACAAATGTCCAGCTTAAATTTCATGTAACTTACCCTCTTAAAAATTATTTTCGAACTAAAATTTCCTTAAATATTTGTCGTCTGACATTGTTATAAATATTTCATGTAACTGAGGAATTGAGTGGAAATTTATTTTTTAAACACGTGGCAATACTCCTAAATATAGTTATTAAATAAAGGATTTTAAACTCATTTCCATTGATAACCAACGGTTAGTAATTCATTTAACTTATAAATTTTAATTTAATTTAAATAATTTTAGTTTAGCCCTTTAAACTGGGGCAACCCTCAAACACACCAAAAATGTTCTAACTTGTCAAACTAAGTATTGAAGCTCTTTCATTTGACATCTATCGTTAATATTTCATATAAAAAATAGTTCAATTAGAAAATAGGTGGCAACCCTATTCAAAATATTTTCAAACTACTACCTTCTTAAACCTCTTTTGTATGACACCCATATAGCGATACCTTATTCACTTACTAAATTCCTTTAACTAAAATTGAATTACATTTTTTTAACATGTGGCAACCCTCCTATACGTAGTTAAGTTATAAAGCCTTTTCCAAACCATTTCGATTGATACCCATAATTAATAATTGATTTAACTTTTTAATTAATTTGAGCTAAATTTCTTAACAGGTGGCAACTTCTTTCGAAAAAGTAAAACCTTCTTGAACATCCACACCCTAAGCCCTTTAATTTGGTACCTCACTTTTGAAAATCGAACGGACGGTGCGGATCTGAGGGCATTGATTAGTAAATAACTTGAGTTTAATTATTTAACAGGTGGCAACTCTTTTCGAAAAAATAAAACCTTATTGCACATCTACAGGCCAAGCGCTTTAATTTGACACCCCATTTTTGAGAATCGAACGAACGGTGCAGATCTTTTATGCTGCACAAAAAATGCCTTCGCGTATTATATATATAGATAGCTATTATCTTGCCTTTTTTTACCTGGAAATCTTATTTTATAAAAACCAGCAAAAATAAAAGTATTTAGCGATGTCAAATGCCGTTTTCTTGATTACAAGAAATGGTAGGCAACAAGCCATGGTTTGAACCAGTTCTTGGTAGAAAAGAAAGTTTTGCAGTGGTAACCCTGAGTGCAAGTTTAAAGCAATTTTTTTTTTGCTGGCAGTGTCCTCCATATAAAAGAAAATCGTCGAACATACTTTCGTATGGAAAAAACGTGAAACAACTTCAACTAAAAAAAATGCATTTCTGTGAGCTGTCTGATGTTGCTGCTGTCTGTCGCTTCACCTGAACATATGAAGAGAAATTTCAAATAATCGGCGAAAAAAGGCCGATGCCGATGCTCAATTTTGTGCCGATAGTAGCCGATTCCGATGCCGATTAATCGGTCGGACTCTACAATTGCTCACTTTCGACGAATAAAGTACTTTTGACTTTTTCATGCTACAAAAATCATTACATTTTTATTCGAAGCAAAATTATGAATGTAAGCAACTGATAGTACTTTAATACGCAAGAGTACGTGTTTTTAAATAAAATATAGTTCATAAAAATAAGTGTTATTCATTTTAACATGAGTGTACACATCATTGTACACAGAAGCCAATAAATTGTTTTATATTTATGACATTTTTGAATATCAATAATAACATCATTTCCATCTTCAGTGTTTAAATAGTCAAAGTTATGAGCAAAAGCCATTCGAGTACTCAAATTTGTTGTTATTAAACTGAAAGTAATTTTCGAGGTACCTAACAACACACGACATAAAAACGTCAGCCTTCTTTTTAAATAATTTAGCTCCATCAAATTATCGCAACTGGTACGTAACGACCCTGCGATATGCCCATAAAACGAATGATCTTTTTGTTGTATTAATTTCTTGGGCATATCAAACATTATCTGAAACATGTCAACTATAATTAAATTAGTTTCTTTTTACTTTTTACAGTTTAAGGAAGTTCCAACGTTATGTAAAAACCTTAAGAAAATCCTAAAGTATTTTGTTTGAATTGAAAATTCAGTAAAAATCAGTACAAATTTTTCAAAATCAGGACATGAGCGTACTGATTTAAGAAATGAATAAAATCAGTACAAGAGTTGAAAAATCAGTACTGTACTGATAACATCAGTACGTCTGGCAACCGTAGTCAACAGGAGGATAAAGTGCAAACGTTAACAAAAAATGGAACACATTTGAGGGCACCCAGCGTACAAGGGTTGTTTTGCCTGTAAAATAACTAAACGTTAAATTAGAACAACCTTAAACACATGCGATTGTGTGCTTAGTGGTCGTTAACTGCGTACTCTGCCCATGTACACATTCGCATTCGCAAAATATTCGTATCAATTGATGCGAATTCGAATGGCGAAGCGAATGTGTAAAATGACGCGAATCATTCGCATAACGAATGCGAATGCAAATATTTGCAACATCCTTGGTATGTACCGGACTTTCAGAGTTCTTGAGCGGCGTGACTAAGGAATTCATCAATATTAACTCAAAATTGATATATGTATACCAGTGATTCCCAAAGTGGTCCAGGTGGACCCCCGGGGGTCCACGGAAGACTCGACGGGGGTCTACGTTGGCGTTAAAAAAATATGGGGGTCCACGAGTTGTAAGTGGGGGCCCACGAAAATTTGTCTGGTTTCGATAGTAAATAACTAAAATGGTTGCTTGATAGCCTCTTTATTTAACTTTAATTTTTTTGAGTGGTGTTTAGTCCTCTTGGCGCACTGCTGTACTTATATCGTCACTTTGTGTCTTCATACGTGGGGAAGCCAAAAGAAACGGATGTTGGTATAACACTGAGTGAGGCGAGGCGGTAATTGTTGGCGGCAGAGATTTGAGCACTCGTATCTATAATGCTGAGTTCCCTAAAGGGGGAATGCTGGTTTAATTCCAGCACTGAGACCTCACACCTTGACTCTGGGCCAGGATCTGGGATCTTTTTCGAAGTTAATTCGGATAAACTTCACTTTTATCTTACGGAATATGCTTCGGTCTTCCAGCTGAAGTATTTGCAATCCTCAAAGCCATAGACTACGTATAAATACTTCCAAACTAGTTCGACAATGCAAGTCTCAACTAAATTATTCTGGCAAACATAAGCAGCTCGCTTTACTTTGGGTGCCAGGTCACTCGGGAGTGCCTGGCAATGAGACATCTCACCATTTGGCCACAGTTGGCTTAGACCAGGCATTCCTCGATCCGCAACCAGTTATAGCACTCCCCACTTCGACCGTCGAAGCCGCCATCAGAACTGGTGAAAACTTCGCTCAGCAATGACTGAGAGCCACCGAGGGGATGCAGGTGGGAAAAACCCATGTTGCCTTCAATATCAGAAGGTCTATCTAGTTTTTTGCTCTCACTGAGAAGACGGGACTGTAGACAACTTGTTGGATTTCACGTAGCAAATGACAACTCTATTTGGCCATCCATGAGACGGTGGAACACTTTTGATGCTTGTATGTTAGTGTTGGGTGATTTTTCCGACAGGGTGGTAAGATGATTTATTTTGGAACAAGTTTCTGTCATCCCTTGTCAAGCTTGGTTTGCAGACAAACCGGTTTCGGCGTTGTGCCATCTTCAGTGTCATTTTATCATCCATTTTTCTAGATTCGGTCTTTTCTCTTTTGTCAGTTTCTGAATTTAAAGTTTGGCGTAAAAAGCTTTGTGGTTTTGTTGTATCAAGTAGGGATGTTTCGAATGTCATATTTTTCACATTCGCGAATGCGAATGCGAATTTGCGAATGCGAGTGTTAGGAATAAAATTAAAAAATCTATAATCAACTTAGTCGTCGTTTCTATTACTTAAAAAATTTGTAAATTATTAGAACATTGAACGAGTGCTTAACNATCAAGTAGGGATGTTTCGAATGTCATATTTTTCACATTCGCGAATGCGAATGCGAATTTGCGAATGCGAGTGTTAGGAATAAAATTAAAAAATCTATAATCAACTTAGTCGTCGTTTCTATTACTTAAAAAATTTGTAAATTATTAGAACATTGAACGAGTGCTTAACCTATACAGTGTTTTAATGTAGTAGTCAAAATTCAAAAGGGGCATAATATTTCAAAAAATTAATTTTGATCTCTTTTCTCCCATGAGGCGATTTCTTAGAGGATCGTATATAAGGCCGGCTGCACTGACGAATTGCTCACTTGGAACGCTGGCGGCTGGAGCGCTCAAATATTTGCGGGCCAGATCTGTAAATTTGTCGTATTTTAGTTTAGTTTTCCTCCAATCGAGAGGATTTTCACCGAGATGAGCTCGGTTTTCTTTAAGATAGGCCTTCAATTGAGCTTTAATTTCACATTTATTTCTTGGTTGCTTATAAGTCTTTTAGCAGTATTTGTTGAAGACCCATCAATGTTGCTTGATATACTACTTAACCGTTTAGCGCCTGATGCTGAAGTCGGTTATTGTCCGCACCCTGGTTAGACAGACTTACTGCCCAAGTCTGCGTTTTTTTGATAAATTTTTTGTAAAGAAATTTTATCAAGATTTTTATCACGTAAAAGCTCCCATCGCATTCTGTGAGAATATTTAGAAAATAAAAAGCTCTACGATTTTCACAAGAACTGATTTCCAAATGAGCGGAACTGATTTCATTGTCTCATATGAAAAATATTAATTTAAAAGCAAAAAAGCTTTAGACTGCCGTAGCCGAGTAGGTAGAAATGTCGGCTATAAATTCTGTGTGTCCCAGGTTCAAATGCCGGCACATTCAGTATTTAAATGATAGAAATTTTTCAATATACAAAATTTATAATTTTCATATGAAATTTCAATTTATAAACGCTTGTCAATAGCATTTTCAATCTTGATAATTTATCAAGAAAAGAGCTTTAATAGATTTATGTGCTAGAATTCCAATTCTTGATAAATAATAAAATTTTTTGATGAGCTTCGGGAATATGTTAGAAAGGGCAGCAGAGGTCCACCGAAACCAGTAAAGTTTTGAAAGGAATCTACGAGAAAAGCAAGTTTGGGAACCTCTGATGTATACAATGTCTCGTTAGCAAAAATTTGGTTTTTTCATAAAATTTTAGAAAAATGGGCCTGAGAATGTAGTATTACAATTCCAGGTAATAATGATATTGGGAATTGTAGGATTAGGTATTAATGATTTTTTTTTAAATAATGAAAAATATTTTATTTTAATTACCAGAAAGATCTTTATGAAATTTTACAATGAATATCAAAAATTTTCTTCTTGAAAGTAATCACAACATAACATTCTAATATTCTTCAAATTAAAAATGAATACAAAGTAGAAATAAGTACAAAGTAGAACCATTTCCAAACAAATAAATAACAGCAATAAGATCCCTACATTACTCCAATTGTAGTATCACAATTCCAGGTAATAATGATTATGGGATCTTTTTAAATAATGAAAAAAATTTTCTTTTAGTAACCAGAAAGTTCTTTATGAAATTTTACAATGACTATCAAAAATTTTCTTCTTGAAAGAAATCACAACATAACATTCTAATATTCTTCAAATTAAAAATGAATACAAAGTAGAAATAAGTACAAAGTAGAAAATAAATAACAACAATAAAATCCCTAAATACAACTTATATCATATGTGTATCTCAAAAACTACTTCAACGATCTCGACCAAATTTGGTATACAAACACATTGCGCTTAGCCTCCTTAAGCACCGTCCCGCAAAGTTTTTAAATCACATACATACGTATATAAATTCAAGACTTAACTTTAACTTTACGCAAGTGAGGTACCAATTTGTTTGAAAAAAATTTACTTTTAAATAAATACTATATATTTGGTAACTTTTATTGACATTTTTTAAATAAGCGATGGCCAAAGTTAAAAAAGTTGACAAATATAGGGGTTTTTTCAATTTACAAGATGAAAGCTCCCAACAAGCTAAGTCTAGCAATATATTTTTATACATCTTTTTAAAGCTCTATGTAATATCCCCTCTTCAAAACAAGTTTGATTTTTAAGATCTGAAGAAAAATAGTCAAGCTGTTAATAGACAAGTGTGAGTACGAACATAATGGTTATTTTTCAGGGACGGTAATTATTATGAGTAAAATAATTTAAATCAGCATTTAATCATTATTTTATGATTTTTATTTATTTCCTCAAAAATAATAGTTATTATTGAGTTTTTTTTTCCCCCTCAACGAAAATAATTTTTATTTGACTTTTATTTTTTCGATCACAAATGATGATTATTTTACGATTTTATTTTTTCGCTCAGAGATAATAGTTATTATTGAGTTTTATTTAAAAATAATGATTATTTATATAATTGAAAAGGCCATACAGACGCAACCTACTGAAATTTTGACCAGAAAATTTTGGGACTTAATCCTTTTATTAGGGTATCGCTACCTCTGAAAAGGATACGTCGGAAACCACGCTGGTATAGCTTTTGAATTTTTTAATGATCATTATTCTTAAGTGAAAAAGTAAAACTCAATAATAAACCCTATGCGACAAAATTAAACTTGTTGGCTCGGTATTGAGTACAACCAAATGCATATAATAGTTTAGATATCAATGGTACTACGTTATCCTTACTTTAATCTTTGCACGTAATTTTTTGTTTAATTAGGTAAACTCTTGAAAAATATTCTTAGAAAATACTAACATAAGGGTTTTTTGATACGATGAATTCATTTTTTAAGTTCGTTTATCATTAGCTTGGCGGTAGATGGCGCTTTAGGGCAATTTGTTTGAATTTTATTGATTTGTATTAATATTTTTTTTTTCAAATAAGTACTCATATTAGAGGTCTTGATTAAATAATGAATTCGCGATGTGATTTAAAACACCGCAATTAACATTTCAAACAGATATTACTTTATTTATTGTATTTTGTTTTATTCTTTTGTCTACTTTATCTTTAAACTTTCCTTATTTCTTTTTTTCAAAATCATTGTCATCATTGCCATGTGAAAAATTTACAAAGTTATTGCTTGTATTTACGTCATCAGCTGTAGCTATTATCCACCAACACATATCCAACAATAATGTTGATATTTTCTTTCACAATCAACCATTTTTTAATTAAAATACCAAAGAAATTTTTTTAAACTGTCGTATAGCAAAATTATACCATCAAGCGAGAGTAATAAAATAATTATGACGATGATTTTTAATCGAAATAAAAAGCATAGAAGGAAAGTTTGAAAAAATACTAGGTACAAAAAAAACAAACAAAATACAATAAATAAATTAATTTCTGTTTAAAACATAGATTGCGGTGTTTAAAATTGGTATTTGTAATACGAACAATGTAAATTTCACATCGAGACTTTTTTAATAGAGACCTCTAATTTTAGTATTTATTTGAAAAAACTCAATGAAATTCAATTAAATTGGCCTGCGGCGCCATCTAGCGCAGACCTACTAAAAAACAAACTTCAAAAATGAATTCCTCGTATCAAAAACCTTTGTATTAGTATTTTCTAAGTATACTTTTCAAGAACTTAACCTAATTAGGCAATAAATTGTGTGCAAGGATTCAATCAAGGATATCTTCCTTAAATGAGCTAAACTCGAAAAAATCCAGTAACGTAGAATTATTGACATCTAAAACTATCACTTGCATTTGGTTTTATTCAATACAGATTTGAGCTGTCGCACAGTGTAATTATTATCTTGAGCGAAAAAATAAAAATCATAAAATAATCATATATATAATATGTTGCCGGAAAAGGGGACCGGAAGTATTTTTGCGCAGAACTTCCTTCTTAGGGATTATAACCCTTACTAAGTAGAACTCTCCTTTCTGTGTTGGGGGGAAAGGGGGCCGGAAGTATTTTTGCGCAGAACTTTCTGCGTACGCGGCCTTCGGCCGCGCTTAGGCATTATAACCCTTGCTAAGTAGAACTCTCCTTTCTGTGTTGGGGGGAAAGGGGGCCGGAAGTATTTTTGCGCAGAACTTTCTGCGTACGCGGCCTTCGGCCGCGCTTAGGGATTATAACCCTTACTAAGTAGAATTCTCCTTTCTGTGTTGGCGGAAAAGGGGACCGGAAGTATTTTTGCGCAGACCTTTCTGCGTACGCGGCCTTCGGCCGCGCTTAGGCTTTATAACCCTTGCTAAGTAGAACTCTCCTTTCTGTGTTGCCGGAAAAGGGGACCGGAAGTATTTTTGCGCAGACCTTTCTGCGTACGCGGCCTTCGGCCGCGCTTAGGCTTTATAACCCTTGCTAAGTAGAACTCTCCTTTCTGTGTTGCCGGAAAAGGGGACCGGAAGTATTTTTGCGCAGACCTTTCTGCGTACGCGGCCTTCGGCCGCGCTTAGGGATTATATCCCTTACTAAGTAGAATTCTCCTTTCTGTGTTGGCGGAAAAGGGGACCGGATATATTTTTGCGAAGAACTTCTTTCTGCGTATAATATACATAATATTTTTGATCGGAAAAATAAAAATCAAGTAATAATAATTTCCTTTGAGCGAAAAAATAAAACTCAAATACTAATTATTATATTTAATTTTTATTGATTAAACTCCAAAAATAAAAATCATTGTAAATTACAGTAGGACGTACGAGCACAAATACGTGAGTATAATTAAAATTTTTTTACACCGATTACAACTTGTTGATTTTTTTGGTTAAAATTTAAGAAATCTATATATAAATACACCACAAGAAAATTTTGAACTCCCTTTTTTGAGGGCACCGTTCGCTCGATTTCAGTGAAACATACACCGATTTAAAGGACATGACTTCCTCTAATCCAGGGGGCGTGGCATCTGACATACAGACTAAAATGTGAAAACTGATATATCTCTAAAACCATTATGCTAACGTCCTGACATTTGACACAGCTATTTATACTTTCAAGAGCATACTTATGGCGAAAAGCGGTAGATATCGGAAAAGGGGCGTGGCCCATGCGGCCATATATGCTACCAATCCGTACCTACGGCGGAAAGTGGTAGATTTTGGAAAAGGGGACGTGGAACCGCCCATACAAACTGAAATTCTCATATCGCTTATCTCTGGAACCGCGCATGCTATCGTCTTGAAATTTGACACAGCAACATATGTTACCAATACCGTACCTACGGCGAAAAGTCGTAGATTTTGTAAAAGGGGGCGTGGCACCGCCCATACAAGCTGAAATTCTCATATCGCTTTTCTCGGGAACCGTGCATGCTAACGTCGTAAAATTTGACACAGCGACGCTTTCAGAAAAAGTTGGAGCAAATTTTTGTTATAATTTGTTACGAAACCCTAAGGTAAAGTCTGCCTTGCACTCATGATTAGCATTTGATTTTTCGCAATTCCTGACAAAAGTTGGATTTTGAGTTGTGTCACATATGTTGTCAATACCGTACTTACGATGTAAAGTGGTAGATTTATTAAAACGGGGCATATCAGTTCTCATACAAACTGAAATTCTCATATCGCTTAAATCTGGAACCGCTTATGCTAACGTTCTGAAATTTGTCATAGCTATTTATGCTTTTAAGAGCGTACTTATGGCGAAAATGATATATATTCGAAACGGGGATGTGGTACCCATAGAAAATGCTATTTCCATATCGCTTATTTCTGGAACCACTGATAAGGTTATGGAATTTGATACACATACAGCTATGTATGTACATAATAATAATAATAGATTGGCGCTTACACATATGTTAGTGTTTGGCCGAGCTTCTCCCCCGATTTGTGGCGTGCGCCTTGATGTTGTCACACAAAGCGGAGGGACCTACAGTTTTACGCCGACTCCGAACGGCGATTGTATTTTTATGAGAAACTGTTTTTCATGGCAGAAATACACTCGGAGGTTTGCCATTGCCTGCCGAGGGACGACCGCTGTTAAGAAAAAACCTTTTTTTCTATATTTTTGCGATGTTGCTTTCGCCAGGGTTTGAACCCGGGTGCTGCGGAGTGGAAGTGCGCACTGCTTACCACTACACCACAGCGGCCGACGATGTATGTACATATCTTCGTTTAAATTGCAAAACCGCGTATCACCAAAATGCAAAACCGCGTATGTGAGGTTGCATAAATTATTTTCCAGAGAGTAAAATCACTCATATTTCAAAATGGTTCTCTTTTTTTATAAAGCAATCGCATTTTTGGCTGGTATAATTTCAGGACGTATGGATAAGGATTGAGCCAAGAGCTTGTGACGATACGCGGTTTTGTACTTTAAATGAAGATATATATCGTCGCCCGTATGCCAGAAACCTGAGTGTGTAAAAATGAAAATTTTTGGAAATCAAGTTTGAAGGTTTTTTTTACGAGACTCAACTCTACATTTGAGTAGTCCACTTGCAAACAGCGTTATGTGATTTTATAATAGAAAGCCATAAATTTGAAAAAATGACTACGACAACAAGTAACATTTAAATTGAATCTTTTTTATTATTACCTGAAAATTTGAACATAACATATCATGACATAAGATAACAATACGACCTAAAGCAGTTTTCTAAGTTCATCAGAAGATGTATACTTTTGAAAGTTTATAAGTATGATAGCGACTTTTGGAAGAAGAGTTAACATTTGATGCTAATTTTTTCAGAATATAAAAAGATTTTGCACTGTGTTGTTAGTGGACATGAAACTACTTTAAATACTGGTACCTAATCCACCAAAAACAAAAAATCTAAAAAATTTTACATAGCGCACTTTGCAACTACTCATTTATGCAATTGAAATTATCAAATACTACATTCTCCTCACGCGCTTCGCTGAGTGAACATATGAAATTTCCGCGTGCTAAATTGGGTGTGATTTATTTCAATAAATCTCAAAATAGATTTCACATAACGGTTGTTTGTAACAGGCAAAACGAATCGAGATAGATATAGACAAATGTATCCATAAATGATCAGAATGAAAAGGGAAATCGATTAAGCGGTGACTGTCTGTCCGTCCGTCCGTCCGTCTGTGCACACGATAACTCGAGTAAAAATTGAGATATCTTAACGAAACATTGTACGTGCACTTCTTTCGGGCGTAGGACGGATGGTATTGAAAATGGGCAATATCGGACAATAACCACGCCAACCTCCCATATAACGGTAATCTTCAGAAATACGAAAACTGCGATATTTTAGTAACTACTGAAGATTATTCACTCAAAATTGATATTTACAATAATTTTTTGACGAAAAATAAGAATATTATAAATTTCTGGAAAATGGGCGTAGCCACGCCCACTTATGGTATATCTTGGTAACCGCTGCACCAATTTCTTCCAAACTTGGCACAGTTGTTAGCCTTGCTACAACATTTTAAATCGGACAATAACTACGCCCACATCCCATATAACGGTAATTTGGAGAAATACGAAGCCTTCTATAAATCAGTAAATATTAAAGCTAATTTATTCAAAATTGATGCTTGCAAAATTTTGGAAAATGGGCGTGGCACCGCCCACTTATGATTACATATATGTATCTCGGTAACCGTTCTACCAATTTGTACCAAACTCGGTATGGTTATTGTGCTTGCCACATAAAAGCAAAACGTTGAAAATAATTGAAATCGGACTAAAATTGAGACCGCTTTTCATATAACGGTAAATTTCGGAAATGCTTGAAACTTCAATATTTCGAAATTTAAGGACGCTAATTTACTCAAAATTGATACACCCCGGCTTACCACGTAGCTTCCGGAAAGGTGAAATACATATATTTAATACTTGCGCCGGGTATTTAATGTTCGGCTCCGCCCGAACTTAGACTTTCTTACTTGTTATATACAAAATTTGCAAAAACTACCACACTGCGATTTTGTTTTTTAATGTTATTTGGCTCTTATTTATCCAAATTTTCAGATAATAAAAAGAAATATGGGCATTCCCATGGTGGCGCACGTGACAGTCGTACGATTTCAATGTGATACAAAAAAGGAATACCATTTGTTTTCTTTAACTTTTTGGGCCATTGTATAGCACATACTTAGCTCTATATTTAACCGAAAAATGAAATCAATCGAACTGCTTGGTCCTGAAATATAAAAATTTAAAGGGAGGGTCGTTACGTGACAAAAAATGGAAGTTGATTTTTTCTTTTCTTACAAAATGGCAAAACTCTGCGAATTGTGGATGGCTAATTTCATGAAACTTATTTTAATATGATTTGGAGCAATTCTAGTTGTTTTTAGAGTTTTTTGAATTAATGCAAATTGTTTCAATTCTCTTTTACAACCCCAAGTGTGAAACGTGACGTGGCGTGACGTGACATAAATTTCCATCGTTATATTTTTGTTAATATTGCTTTTAAATTAATTTTTAACGCAAATAAAACATGTATTTTATGTAGAATATACTTTATATTTTGACTTAAGCGCCAATTCAGGGTCAATTTATTGGAAATCTATGATTTATTATGTTTCAAC